GCAACGACGATTTGGAACAACACAGTCGTGTTGGCAGGGAATGAAAACCGAACGGAGGAGGAACAAAAAAAGGAGGGGGAGGAGGAGGAGGAGGAGGAGGAGAAAGAGGAGGAAGAGGAGGAAGAGAAGAACAACAAGATGAGAGAGAAAAAGCAACAGCAAGTAGCAAAAATAAGAAACAGATGTTTTCCCAAAGAGTGCGACTGCAGTTCCTCCGTAAAGAAGAGGAGACAGACGGAAAGAAAAAAAAAAACAAAAAAACAAAAAACAGTAGAAGAAAGAAAAAAAGATGATGATGATACTTGTACTACAAGTGCTGACTGTAGTCGTAGCTGTGCTGCTGCCACCACTACTACTACTACTGCTACTACAGTCAGCACTTGTACTACAGTTAGCTGTGCTGCTACTACTAGTAGCGGTAGTAGTATAGTAGTAGTAGTAGTAGTAGTAGTAGTAGTAGTAGTAGTAGTAGGAGTAGTAGTAGTAGTAGTAGTAGGAGGAGGAGGAGGAGGCATTGATCTTGTCGTGACAGTCATAATACTCGAAGAAGTGGGCAATGGGCAAATCGCCCTTGAACACATTGATGGACCCTGCGCATCCTGCGCATCCAAGGCAAGATGAGGATGCGCAGGATGCGCAGGGTGCGCAAGTAGTACAGTAGTAGATCCTGCGCATACTACTACTACTACTACTTGCGCATCCTGCACATCCTCAGCATCTTGCAGGGACTCAGCTTGTGGATCAAAGATTAGGCTCAGCTTGTGGATCCTGCGCATCCTCAGCATCTTGCGCATCCTCAGCATTCTGAGCATCCTGCGCATCATTACCTTAGCACAGGCACATACCCCTGCGCACGTTCCGACCGACAGCTTGCGCAAGCAGTCGCGTGTCATCAGGGCGGGGAAGAACCTTCTCCGCCCTGCCCACTGACGCCTTTCGCTTATCGTCATGATGACGAGTGCCGCTCGCACTACCTGTCCAGATGGCTCATCAGATCTCTTGTCTTTTTCTTGTATATACATATACATATATAGATAGATAGACAGAGAGATAGATAGATATACGCATCAACGCCTATTGCCTCTTTCTGTTTTTTTCCCCAAAGACGAAGAGACCATGTTGTTGCTGCATCAGGAACAACCCTCATCAACTTCCCAGGTCTCTTCTTCTTCCTGTCCATTCTCGAGACACCCACAACTTTCGCGGAAGGTTCGCGGAAGGTTCGCGGAAGGTTCCGGATCTACGACTTAGACGCGTACTCTAGTAGTCCGAGAACATCTGTAGTGGGCTTCCTGTCCTTTCCGTGAGCATTCCGTGAACATTCCGCGTCCTTTCGCGGTACTCTTCGTCACGCTCACGGCCCATCCTGCGACTCCCAAGAATAGAAGAAGCAGAATAAGGACGGAACAGAGCGAAGAGGGAGAAGAAGAAGAAGAAGAAGACGAAGAAGAAGAAGAAGAAGAAGAATCTGAAGACGAAGAAGAAGAAGAAGAAGAAGAAGAAGAAGAAAAAGAGTGAATAGTGGCAAAGAGAGGTCAATCCCTGTCTTTCGCACATGCTTTCATGGAGGCATGAAGGTTCCTAGGAACGGTCCTAGAGAATCATGCCTCCATGCTCGGACAGGTTCCGCTCCCGTCTCCTCAAGCAACTCTCCCTCTCTCTCCTCGCCGTACGTACTTATCTTTCCACCTGCCACCGCCCGCAGAGATGAGAAGAAGAAGAAGAAGAAGGAAGAGTGAAAACAGGGCGAACTGTCTCTAGTACACGCATCGAAAGTTCTTCAATACACAGCCGCGCAAACTAGTAGTCTCAGTTAAGCGCGCATTCCGCGACGCGCGCTTCAATCCGGCTGCGCTCCGATCATTCTCCGCGGGCTTCTGCGACAACCATGCCTTGCGGCTCGATACCTGGTGAGCGCGTTCCGATCAGTTCCTCTCCGATCGGCCGCTCAACCAAGAAGGAGGGGGGGGGGGGGGGGGGGGGGGGGGGAGGGTCCGAAGAAGAAGAAGAAGGAGAAATAGGAGAGAGAAATGCTGCTACTTGTTCGGGGTCCGGAGGTCCCGCAGTCATGCACCTTCACGTCCATAGCTGCCATAGCTGCCATAGCTAAAGAAGAAGAAATGACGAGCATAACCGGACAGAGGAGAAGGGGGAGGAGGGAACAAGAGGAGGAGGAGGAGGAGGAGAAGGGGGAGGACGGAGAGGAGAAGGGGGAGGAGGAGCAGGAGGAGGAGCAGGAGGAGGAGGAGGAGGAGGAGGAGGAGGAAGGGAGGACAAGAAAGAAACTCACCGGGCACTGCAGCTGCTCACCGTCTGCTATCTCTCCTCTGCTTGCTAGCGCCCTGCTTCCCTCGTCCTCCTTGCCATCGCTCGTCTGTGTTCCTTCTGTGTCCCTTCTGTGTGGGAGAGCAGAGATTCTCGGGGCGTCTTTCTGATAATCGGCCTACCGGTAGCTCCGCTATCCACCAAATGTGCACAATGAGAATGAATCTTCGGCTAGAACATGGAAAGATACATACACCACCATATTAATGTTAATGTCTTCCGTACATGTTGTGAGCAATGCAGGCAGGCCCAATCCAGCGCGGGAGATTTCCGCCCCTTTTTTCGCCTGACACCCCATGGAGCGGCCTTCTCAGGCACTTATTTATTTATTTATTTATATTCTTACTTTTTTAAAATGGACAAGTGGCAAAATACCCCCACAACTTGAGATATTTTCCAAAATGTCCCTTAAACATGTGGGTAGAGCGGAATGCCCTTTTGGGCCGAAATCTCTGTGTTGTGCCCATGTCAGGCGGGTGTGCAACTGGACCTCCCCGTTTGGGCCTTGGCCTTTTGCAATAGCGCCTAGAAAAAGTTGGCAAGTACTGGGACATTTTGCAAACTTTGACGATACCCAGTAGGGCATATTTCAAAGATGGAGGTCCAACCGACGCCAGGGGTATTTTACAAAATAGGTTTTTTCGTCAGAGGGGCACTCCGCTCCACTCACATCTTTTGGGGGTATTGTGCACATTATCCCGTTTTTTAAACGAAAACATTTGCTCCTTTCTATTCTCAGGCATTTACGTCCTCCTCTGTGCCCGAGCGGGAAAAAGAAAAACATTGAGGAGGAAACTCAGTGCTGCCGCCGGTAGTGAGACTTGGCCCCGGGGCCAAGTACCACTTACGCTGATTCTTCATTTCTGGCCGTTGATCTTGGTAATCTACGGTCAGAAGTTGAGAATTCGGGTAAGTGGGACTTGGCCCCCGGGTTGTTTGTGGAGGGAGTCCGGCCTCCGTTGGATCCTTGGTGATGAAAAATTGCTGTTTCCAGCACCAGAAAAAAAAAAAAGAGAAAAAGTTTTGAAATTCACCTCAGACTTCCATTAATTTGCGGTACGCCCCTTTCAAGGGCCACTTACCCTGTTGCGCCACTCTGGCAACGATTGAAGTTTCCGAAAAACCCCTGGCATCATTTGGGCATGAAATATCTTCAATATGCCCCTAGGGCTACCGACTCCAAATTTCAAGTATGCCCCGGTTGCTCCCCTCCGAGGACGAGGGGAACGGCCGTGAGTGCCACCAAAGGCCACAGGGGCATGCTGGAAAGTTGCACCCCTTACTGACAGGGGCCTGCAGGAAACTTCAGAGGCGCCAGGGGCACTACAGGGAGTCGGCCGTTGGAGGGGCAAAAAGCAAATAAATGGAAATCGGAGGGGCATTTGCAAAATTGTCCTACACATACTAAAAATGGGAAAACCCACACGGGGGCTAGGTCCCTCTAGCGAAGAGAACGGGATTGAACGCCTGAATCTAGACGGGTCTGGTAGAAAGATACAGAAAATCGAGATTCAACTGCTTTCTGCATCTTTTTTGAAAACAGGTCCAGATTCAGGACCTTAATCCAATCCTCTTTCAAGTCGCTAGTGGGACCTCGGCCCGGGACAGCCTGCAAAGAGGAAGACTATTTGGTTGTGGACCTCTTGGCTGAGCGAGTGGGTATGAACCTGGTCGGGGCCAGGTCCCACGTACCCGAATTCTCACTTCCTGACCGTAGATTATGAAGATCTACGGCCAGGAACGGAGAATCAGCGTAAGTGGGACTTGGCCCCGGTGTGCTTGGATCTTGGCCTAAAAAAAAAGGAAAAAAAGAAAAACACTGAAAACGTTGCCTCGGTGTGAGACGCCAGACCCGGGGCGAGGTCCCACTAACAAAGAGGATTGGGTTGAACACCTGAGGGCATACTCACACTGCGACCCCAAATCCGCAAAATATGCAAATTTGGGAAGGGCCTATTTGAGGTTTTGGGCATGGTTCGCGTCACGCTGCTGTACCTTTTCATATGGGACAAGGTCTCTCTCTCTCTCTCTCTCTCTCTCTCTCTCTCTCTCTCTCTCTATCTATCTATCTATCTATCTATCTAT